AAACTGTAGAGGAACTGAAATCAGTGATGATGGCTGTATTAATGTGCAAAGCCTGAAGAAGGGTGCTGTCACTGTCTCTTGAGAACCCAGAGGAGAGTAAAAGGAATGCAGCCTTCAGCTGTGTATAAATGTGGAGTGCCAAATTGCAGGAAGAGTGAAAAAGGAAAGAGAGGAAGGCATGTCACCTCTGGTGTGGGCACAAAGGCTGTGGTGGTGTGCTTTGGGCATTAATGACAATCTGTGAACAGTCCTTGAATGGTGACTTTTGACTTTTTGATGTGTTGCTGGAATGTGTCAGGTCGGTGGAGGCTGTGCAGGCTGTCCCATAACTCCTGGCAGCTGAATGGCTTTTAGGTAATGCTGGTTAGGTGTCCTTGCAAGTCAGGGTGATGGTGTTGGACTCTGAACATCTTTACAGCCTTTCTAGTAAAGTAGCTAAGAGCAGTTTTATGTTTTAGCTAAAAATAAATCTTGTTTAGATAAGACATCAATAACTCCTTCCCTCTTGTTCCATATTGGGAAAAAAAAAATCCCATTAAAAATACGGTTTCTTAATCCAATAAGAATGTCTGGAAGGACTAAGGTAGCAAGTAGACATGCAAGTCTAGTAACTCCACTATGAGTTCTCAGATATTTAGATTAAATTCTAGACTTTATTTCAGCTATAGGAATTATTGGTCTCTACAGCTTCCTCAAAGGAGGTTGTAGCCAGGTGGGAATTGGTCTCTTCTCCCAGGAAGCCAGTGACAGAACACAAGAGGAAATGGTCTCAGGCTGCACTGGAGGAGGTTCAGGTGGGACTTCAGGGAGAATTTTTTCACTGAAAGAGTTGTCAGGCATTGAAACAGAGTGCCCAGGGGAGTGGTAGAGTCACCGTCCTTGGGGGTGTTTAAGAAACAACTGGATGTGGCACCGAGTGTCGTGGTTTAGTTGACAAGGTCGTGTTTGATCACAGATTGGGCTTGCTGATCTTGGAGGCCTTCTCCAACCTTAATGGTTCTGTGACCTTAAGATAAAGCTTCTGGATACAGAAATGTCTGTACCTAAAATATAACCTACTGCTATGTCTTCCCATTGCTTTTACTTCACTATTCCCTGAAGGACAAATCCTTAATGGAAATAAATTCCTTAAATTTCAGATACTTTATACTTCAAGGCTCTTACTATTTCTACTTTATGGAGTAAGATAGAAATAGTATCCATCAGTCTTGTCAGCATGTGTGATTGCAGGGAGGAGTGAGCTGGTATTTTACCTTGCAGAGGATGTCTTCATCTTTTCCTTTCCTCTCTTCACTGCAGGGGCAGTGAGACTGGCACAGGTTGCCCAAAGCAGCTGTGAGTGCCTCATCCCTGGAAGCGTTCAAGACCAGGCTGGATGGGGCTGTGGGAAACATGATCTAGTGGAAGGTGTTCCTGTCCATGGCAGGAGGTTGATCTTTAAGGTCCCTTCCAATCCAAGGCATTCTATGTGAAATCTCCTTTTGGAGGAGTTTTAAATTTGCAGTTGGGCCCTGTGTTAGCCAGTGAAAAGCTGGGTAGGTAGAATGAAAAAGTACTGAGGAAATTAAAAAATTTCCTCAGAAAAGGAAAGAAAGAGATCAACTTTTTCCTTGGAATCTACATGTGAGATTTGAACTTTACTGGTTATTAACACTTATTAGCAAAAGTTCATAAATAACAATATTTAGTGAACCCATTAGTCTGTCTCAGGCAAGAGTAAGAGAGACATCCATTGGCAATGAGGTTAGATGGCTTTCTCACTTATTTCCGTTTTCTCCAAAGTACTGATGTTGTTTATAAGACCTCTTTCCTTCCAACCACCACTTCTGAGTTGTTTGGGTTTTGGGAATTTCATTTGTTTGTTTTTCTCCTTTATAAATTTTCAGTTAGTCTTTAACTCTGGGTGAGTTTTGAATTTCCAGTGAAAGTGTCCTTCATTTGCAAATTTGCCATTATTCTTTATTATTGTTGAATATTTATTTATTTTTGTGTTTTGCAGAGAAAGGAGGGAAAGACTTCCCATAATGTCATCTAAGTACTGCTCATTATACTGAATGTCTGTAATATTTTGTTTGTGAATACTGTTATTTTCCAACTGCATGTAATTATATTTTACATGTCTTGTTTTTGTTCTAATTCACTGTCTAATTTATTAGAGACTAGTACAGCAGGCAGTGAAAATACCAAATATAATACTTTAATGAGAGTATATTACTGATTTATGGTATTGAAGTTACAATAACTTTTGTGTGACACTTCATTCTATTTTTATGAATCGTGAACATTTTTTATGCATTTTGATATACAATCACATAATTGTCTACAGAATGCTCTCAGTTCCAGGCTTGATGAAATTGATTGTTAGGTATGAGGTTAGTTTCTATTTCTTCTTCAGCCTGACTTGGCTTTAAACAAATTTTCCATTAGTTTACCAAGGATGCTACTTGTTTGAAATAGCTGAAAATGGTCATGAATTTGTTCTTCTCCAGTCTTTCAGCCTGTTCTTGCTTTTTGAACTGCAGTTAGATCTCAGATATTTCATATTTGTTCAAGTAGCAGCATTAAATGCTCAAACAGGTCACTTCCTTCAGTACTAAGGTCACTGTAAATTCTGGAGCACACAATATTTCTGTTTCAAACTTATTTTTTGGTTTAATTTTGTTCCAGCAGAATAATAAGTGTTACATGGCATGCTGTGCCAAACAATACTAAGGTGGTTATTTTTAAGTGAGCTTGTTGGCTCGGGAACACAGAAATAAATTTCCAAAAGATGTGACTGCAGTTGGAGTGAAACCCACTTGTCTCTTTCAGTGGAGGGGGCGTTTGGCAAGTTAGCTCTGCATCCCAAAAGCAGTTGTGTTCTGCAATCCAGCCTGCTTGTGGAACTAATTAAAGGGGCACTTGTTAAATGCTGGGCTTCATTGTGGGGAGGCTTTCTCTTTGGTACTAACAAGATTTTCTCTTTCCCTTTTCTCTGTCTTAAGCCACACTTTCCCTTTCTGTTTCCAAATGACTGAAGTGATATGATGCCTACCAGTGTAGGGTTCTGCTTCTGTAAAGATCATCCTAAATACAGTTTTTGTCTGCCTATTGTCATCTCACTTATCCCAATCTTTAAATGCTGTGGAATGCTGTCCACCCATTCAAGAACTGCACTTTCCACCATATTTTAAAATTTGAATGGCTTTTGTATTTAAATTGACATTTCAGAGCAATAATGCTTCTGTTGTGTTAGAGCTAGGAGCAGGAGACAAAAAAATGCTCTATTCTGAATATTCCCACACATCTTTTCCCTAAAATGCTACAGCTGTTTTATCCCTTCATAAATCTTTAATCAGAGGATTTCAATACTTAATTACAACAAAAAAATTAACCTCACATCATTCCTTTGCTGTCAGGCAGTATTTTCCTTATTATGTGGATAAGTGAGGCATTAAGGGACTATGTGATTTTTGCAAAATGTCAGGGCAAGGCACTGGCAACCTCTAAGGCTCCTAATTTATAAGCCTATAATCTACTGACTTGACACTAACATTCTTTTTCAGCTGGCAAATCCAATGGAAACATCCTAAATCCGGTTGGGACTAGGGGGAGTCATTCTGAGATGAGAATTACTGCATAAATGTGCTAACGCTGCCATTATCAGTGTTGAGAAGACATCCAAATAGAAGATGAGTAAATACACAGAATAAAAGTGCAAGTGTTTCAGGGGTGTGCACACAAGGGGACTCCTCAGGGCCAACCCCAGCAGGGCAGAGGAATCACTGGCACCTCCCTCAGCAGCTGTGGCTATGGGGGTGGAAGTTCCTATTATTTATTCCAACATCCCTGATTAGGCAAAGGGGACTCAAGTTTAGTAGTTTTCTCTTCCTCTCACGTGCACACAACTTTTTTTCATGTTCTTCAAGTAGTTTTTGAGAGTCGTGATTTTTTGGAGTGAGTGTTCCATAGTAAACGTGAGAGAGATGATGCTTTTTCAAGTCTGTCTGTAAAATTTCAGCTGATACCACAACATTATTTGTGCTTGAATTGCCTTTTCAAGCTCACTCTTTACAGCCAAGAGAGAGATAAAAATTTATGCAAAATTACATACTCAGACGCTTTTTTGTTTTTCCAGCCATGTCAGTTGGGCAAATAAAAACTCAAAACTTTTTTTGGGCAGACTGTGCTCTTTGTTTTCCTGGCACTGTTATAGGATTTAAGGAATTGGAGCCCTTTGCAGTGACTTACGTCTTTTAAGTCAGACTTTACCTAGGATAGTGACAAAGTTTTGTACTGTTTTTCTTATGCTAGAAATGTTGATTTTAAGCTTGATTATAAGATTCACCAAACCAGGTAAAACTGATTATTCTTATTCCAAAACTGATGCAAAATAATATGAATGTAAATAGTATGTCATGGGGTAGAGGTATTAATCTTAAGATTTTAATGTTTTCCAGTGCAGCTAGCAGATGTAATGAAATAATTAAAAAAATCTCTTTTATTTAAAATTTTGTCTAAATTAAGGAAATGCATGTGTGAGGGCACTGTACACCTTCCTTAAGAGCAGTGTAGGTAGATAATCATTTAAGTCTATTTGACATTAATCATGCCACTGGGCAACACTGTGACTATTCACATGTCTTCCTGCTTTCCAGTAGTCTTTTTCTCTCTTGAGGAAGGCATGCCCAAATAACTTTAATGTAACTTACCATTGTACTGTATATCAAAAGAAACGTTGCTTTTGATAGTTCTTTGATTTAAGCAGTAGTAAAATTTAAGCAGCAGCAGTGCAGGGAGGCATGCACATTATTTTATATCTGCATTCAGCAGCTTAAATAATGTCGTTTAAGATTCCATCTTCCTGCTTTTCCCGTAGTTGGGGGTGCAGGATTAGAGGATTCTTCTTCAGCAGGGGAAGCCCGGTAGGATTTTTGTGCAGCGCAGTCTGCTCTTGCCCGTACAACAATAGCGTGCGGCGAACCGAAGCGTTCCGCTGACGTTTTTGTCACCAAGCGCAAGGTCACGGCTCTCGTGCCTTGGGAAGGAGATCCTCGCCCAGGGCCGCAGGGATGTTCCACCTGCAGCGATGCTCCCCGTTTGCGGCATTGGCAATAAGTTGTGCTGGCTGCCTGCCAGGGCAGGCTGCTGTTCCAGGCAGCAGGTCTCTGCCTCACAGGCACCGTGCTCGCAAGGGGGAATGCGGCGTGGGGCTCCCCGAGCCCACGGGCTGGCCTCGCCTCGCCGACACGATCGCGTGTTTATGATTTGGTAGTATGTGATGTCATGAGGGTGTTGGCTTGGAGGAATTTCACTACTGAGGAAGCAGTTTGAAATGCAGGCAGAATCCTCGAGACCTTCGGATGTGCGCTTGGTTTCTTTTTAGTTAGCTCTGAACGGAGGTACAGATGGATACCTATGTGTGGATTTTTTTAGTAAGGAATTAACGTATGGAATATAGAAGAGATTTAAGTGGATACAATACCTGAAGGCAATGTCGAGCCAGTCTGGATTTTCAAACTCTCTTCCTCTACCAGGATATCCATTCTACCAGGTGTCATGCAGGTATATCGTGTTTTAAGTTTTACCTTTTAATGCAGTTGCATATAGAGCTGTAGCATGATGACTGTGTTAACTGATTTTTTCACCCCCCCATTTCATTGTTCTCAGAAAAAAATTATGGAATTGGAGAGTTAAGCTGAAAACCATAAATACTATTTTAGATTGCTGTGTGGCTGACCTTATAGTTAAGTTCACTTTTATTTAAAGCAAATATTTTTATTTCTAAGTTTTTCTAAGAGTTTATTTCTAAGAGTTTTTCTAATTGAAAAAATGAAGTTGTAACCTTGGAGATTTTTAAAGGGAGATATGTATTCAGATATTTCTGTCATTTATTGGGAGTCAGATATCTATGGTATTGAGAAAATGAAATTATATAGATTTCTAAAACATGAATGTATAATTACATTCTTTTCAAGTATAATTACATAAGGTAAATAAACAGAAGTACTTTCTGACATTTTTCTTCTAAGACAATTCACACAAAATGTGCACATGTGAAAAGGTTATAAAATACCAGTGTTGTAGTAAAGCTAAATTGTAAAAGCTTCTTATTTTATATTTTTGACTCCACAATCCTGTTTTATTAATAATCCTTCCTTCTGAAAGTGCTGTATAACAGTTTTGTAGTGAATGGGCTGGATCCTAACCATGAAATTACTCTTCCTGCTGTAATATTGCATAATAATTAGAGGGAATGTGTTACAGTACTTGTGTGGCTGAAAGAGCTCAGGTTTCTGGCACACCTTAATACAGAAATGTAATCTCTGTTTATTGTGTCTAAATCTGAAGTCCCTGTAACAATAACAGAGGGAGGGGAAAATGGGAGTTAGGAGTTTTATGTTATTACTCATCTTTCAGTAAAACATATGAAAAGAAGGATAAGAGAAAAAGTAAATTATTAACATACTCTGATTTAGAGAATGAATCTGACCATCTCCATAAACTGCTGCATAGACAGTGGCTGGTTTGGGTTAGTTTGGTAAGGCTTTAGTGATGGTCACTTGTGAGCAGAACCAAGAGTTATTCTGCTAGAGTTGATTTAAACACTTTTTTATGTTTCTTGAAATAAATTTGTACCTCTGTTGCACTACTGGGGCTGTCTGTTCAAGGGTACCACCAGAGTTAGCTAGCCCTTGAGAAGGTCAATTAACAGTGACTCCTTGTGGTTGTCCTTTGGCCTGACTTCAGTGGATACTGAGGTCTAGTAACCTTTCTCTTTTTTTGTCTGGACATTTTTTGTGATAAAAAGCATGAATAAGTTGGAAATTAGACAAGAGAAATTCAGTAAATGGCAGCTGATGTGAAAACCTTCTCTTCCTACCTGTGTGTTAGGTGCTTAATCAAAGTCATAGCTTTTCATTCCTGCTTCTTAAGATCAGAATGTCCAGAGCCACTACCCAATTCCCAAGTTGCCACAGTGACCTTCTGGACAAGAATGAAGGTCTCATGAGTGAGTTCCAAGTCCTCTGTTGTGGAAAGAGAGAGGTTAAACTTCGTGAACTTTTGGATCCCTGTTGCTTATCTGCATTTTGGTTTTAATTCTCTCCTTGTGTGTCTTACATGGTTTTTAATAGTTATTCAGCATTTCAATGAAGTCTGTGTTTAATACTTTTCAGATAAGATAATTAGTTTCTGTTATATGCAACTGAGCTTATTAAGATTCTGGTTTATGCATGTAAAATTGCGTGGACTTACTTCCTTTAATGACTAAGTCATTCTGACTTTGCAACTCTGTTTTAGTACTGAAGGAGAGAAATTCCTTACATTGTCTACAACCACTGATAACTGTAGAATGTAAAATTAGTGCTCCTGCAGTCCTCAGTGCAGAATTTTTCTTTCAGAATAGTAACATACATCCATTTTTGCTTGTAGCTCTGGGGAGTAATGTACCTTGCAGAGAATGGGCTGAATCAGTCTCCACTCTAGTTGTCATATTCTGGTGAGTGAACTTTTCCCAGTAAAATAAGTAGGCAGTGAGACTACTGTTTATCATAATTGGTTTGTGATCATGATTGGTTTTTGATCTCTAGTGGAAAGGTTAGTGTACATTATGCTAGACTTTGACTATGCTATATTGACAGAGACTTTCAATCTACTGTTGCTTGCTGCTGAGATGGCATAAAAGTCCTGAACAGAGTTCCAGAAAAGCTCTCTCTTTGGGAAGCGTTTTGTCATTTTTTTGTAGATAAAACTAATTTTCCACAGGTCAGAGTTGTCATTGGGATTGCTTAGTGTTGAGAATGGATTGTGCTTTCTGTTATCCATAAAGAATAATAGTTTTGGAATAATATTTTTGTAGAAATGTCAATGAAGTATTGCTGGTAGCCTGTTCTGGAGGAATGCACAGTCAGTGTTTTGTTCGTTTGTGGTTTTCTAAGATTGCTCAGGGCATTGTTTATCTTGGAGATGACCAAGATGCTGTCTCCAAAACTGGGTCAGGGTAGCATGGTGTCCTGGTTGGCTGTGGATTATGGCATTGCATAAGACAGGAGTTCAGCTTGGGGACTGTGTTTTTTGTGTTTTTTATTGTAGTTCAGTTTTGGGATCTGTGTAATGCAGAACTGGTGTTTTTTTGCTTTTCTATATTTGAACAAAATTTAGAGATTAATATAATTTAGTTTGAGTGTGTTTAAAACATACCTCCTTTTTTCTTTTATGGGGCACAATACAAGAGATGTGATCTAGGTATGAGTTGTAGAAAAGACCCTGTGTGATTGAAAAACACTTGAAATAATTTATCCTCTTTGTTCTATTACAGATTTGGTATTTGATATAGAAATTCAGAGAAAATATGGCTATCTATAATTCATCTGTTTCAAGACAGGTAGCAGCAAATGTAGAATTTGTTGTTAAAATCCAAATGGTAGCCAAAGTAAGCCTGCAAGTAAACCTGTCATTACTTTGACTAGTATGGCATCAGCCATAGAGCTTGCATTTTTTCACCTGCTTCATCATGTAATGTTGGGTTTTCTTTGTATATCATATGGTGTAGAAGGAAGTCTGTTCAAAAGTATTTCAAAATAGTCTTGCCATGTTTGATTTTCATAAACCTAATCAGTAGAGATTAAGAACAAAGGCTGCACTCCTGTCTTTCTCCCAGTTGCCCTGGTATGGCAAGAGCTGTTTATTGTAAGAACATTTGCTATCTCTCTTTGCTTTAGGCTGCTAGACGAGAAGAGTGTAGTCTTGTGAGACCAGACAAGACATCTGGTATCCTGACATGTTTCATGGGGGAAGCCAGAGCTTTCAGCTCCACTGGAGCATCAGCAGATTGTAGCCATTTTAGAAAACAGTCATTGTTTTTATTTGCCTCACAGATACACGTTCAGATGCAGTTTTGAATAGGAGTTACATCTTCTTCCTCACGTGGAGATGTTTGCTAACACAAAACCCAGCTATGGAGCAATTACTGGTGGTGTTGTGATGTGGTTGGGGTTTTGCTGGTGGACTGTGATACCCTTTGGTTCTTTGTCCTTGGTTAGGACAAAGATGATTCCCCTTTGTCCTAACCAAACTTAGAACCTTCTGCATGCCTGTGTAACAATGGAATTCCTGCTTCCAGCAAGGCCAGTGGAAGCCATGCTCACAGTAGAAGTCTCGGAATTGCATGTGTTTGCTAATAAAGAAAAGGGGGGAAACACAGCTATCCAGTTGTTGATAGTGAAAACTTGTAATGTTGTGAACACAAGATGAATCAGTTGCACCCGTGCAGTTGATTCTGAATGCAGTTAATGCAAATTCCATCCAGTCATAGCAATACCCTAAATTACTGTAACTGAAACTAAGCAACAAATGGGCAGGGCTTATCTGTGGAAAGGGGAGAGATGTTGCAGCATTAAGCCATTGCTCTTCTTTTAAGAGGGAGCAACTGCCCATTTCAAATGTTGCCTTTTATTAGAATCCATCTCTTAAATTAAAAAAAAAAAAAACCACAAACAAAAAACCTGCTGTATTTTAGACAGAGGAATAAATCTTGATTGCTTGCATGTTGTGCAGTGTTAGAAGACAGTAAAGAAACAAATTTACTAACATTTACTCACCTTTCTTTGTAGAATGATTTGATAAGTTTACCTAAATTAAAATCTCTTGAGAACTAATGTGCCCAGGCAAACAGCAATCAAGAATAACAAAAATTATATTACAACATGTGTTTGTTAAGGAAAGTTCTGGGTAGCTATTTAATATTGTTCTGAATATTCAGCAGAAGGCATGTGTATGACAGGGATTTACAGGTGCATTTTTCTTGGAATAACTAAATCAGTTGAGCAAAACTTCCTGTGTTTTATGTTCTTTGCTGGTTCAGAGCTGCTGCCTTTACTCTGTAGGGAGGAGGAGAAAGGGGAGGGCAGAGTTTTTGACTAAATGGACAAAATATATGCAAGAACATGGTGTTCTAAATTCACGCTGGCCTTAGAAAGTGCTTCCCCATAGAATTTGATTTTTATATATGGCTACAACAAAATGTAGCTTTCATGTTAGGAGAGGGAGATTGTTCTCTGGTTTTTAGAAAGATAATTCCTTCTTCAGGGCTTGGGAAGAACTACTAAAGAAAGCTGGTGCTGTAGGAATATATTAAGTTCTGATTTAAGTAAGAGAGGGAATGATTAAAATCTGAAGAGGACAGTTTTATGTATTTTATCCTCTGCAATATTTAAAATGTGGGTAGGCTATTTTTATATTAAAATTATTTAAACATTATATATATAATGGCTTTATAGGCAAATGAATAGATTGCTTTTAAGCAAAAGATCTTTTTATTTTTTTCTAAGGTGCCTCATGATTAGAATGTCAGCAGTTATTTGGGCTTGACAGAACAAACAATGCATAAAAAAAAGCTTCCCATCATAAAACGTAACTCATTAAGCAAGATTGGACTTGAAAAAAGCATTCAGCTTGCAGGGAATAAATCTTAAGCAAAAGGTGCTCTGTGAGAAGACAAAATGATAGGAAAACTGTTAAAGATGAGGCAGGTTGCAAGGTCATCATCTCAAACTTTTGTCCAG